CTTTTTTTCCTTGTTGATACATATTCTAGGATCACAAATTGTTATGTTTTTATAGTTTTCTTTATGTCTGGTTGGATTACTTTATTCTCCTCCTTTTTCCTTCACTGTTTTCTAGTAGCACCTGTGAGTATTTTATGCATGCTGTGTGTGGTGGTAGGTGCTAGAGTTACAAAGGCAGAAAGGAATGATCCTTGAAAACAGGGAGCTGAGAGCTGCAAGGGCACCTGCTGGGCACACAAAGATGTGTGGGACAGCTTCTCACAAGCCAGGGAAACCTTTCAAAGACAAGGGCCACGTGGGTGGATGAGCGAAGCCAAGGGGTGAATGCTACTGGCCTGTGTTAGACTCTTTAGAGTTCTGTCAGCCACCTGGGCCTCTGAGGTTAGATGGTAAGCTCTGCTAAGGAGGAACCAGCCCAGGCTAGATGGACAGATGGATGCACTCGTGGATGGGTGGATGGACAGGCAGACAGATGGATGAATGCTGATGCCACAGCACACTGCAAAAGGATCCTGGGGCGGAGGGGGGGGGGGGGACGACCAACTATTCTGGAATCTCCCAGTTCCTGCTAGCTGATGGGTTTGGTTTCCTACAGATTAAGTAGCTTAGAGACTGGAAATTAGTTCAGAAATGATTGACTTAGAGACTGTCCTACTGTTAAAAATCTGCTGTTTAAGATGATAAGCCGGGTTCCAGAATCAGATTTGAGGGCTGGGGAAATGGCTGGTGGATAAGGTGCTTGCTGAGACCTGAGGCTGAGCCCCAGAACCCGTTGAAGACTCTGGGCATGTAGCTGTGCACTTGTGATCCCAGGCCTGGGTGGGCAGAGAGCTGGATCTCCGGTGCTCCCTGGCTAGCAAGGCCAGCTGCTGTGCTCCAGGGAACCAGAAAACAAGGTGGCTAGCTCTTGAGGAAGAAGGACACTTGAGGTTGATATCTGTTCTCCACATGTGTGTGCATGTTTATGTACATCTATGCACACATGCACCCACGAGAAACCCTCACCCCCATACTAAAACAAAACAAAAAAACCCAGATTTGAGCCTTTATTTCTCTGATAGTTTAAAGTCTCATGGGAGACTCAGGTCTTATGTAGAGAGGTTTTAGGTGATGTCTTTCCTCCTCCTCTTCCTCCTCCTTCTCCTTTTTCAAGACAGGGTTTCTCTGTGTAGTTTTGGTGACTGTCTTGGATCTCGCTCGGTAGACCAGGCTGGCCTCGAACACATAGAGTTCCGCCTGCCTCTGCCTCCCGAGTGCTGGGATTAAAGGCGTGCGCCACCACTGCCCGGCTAGACGATGTCTTTCTAAAGGGCAGTTTGACTGGCACTACCCACTCAAGACCTCCTGCTGAAGAGAAGAAACCTCTGCTGGGCATGACTGAGCCATCTAGGTCTTGCTGTACTTGGCATATAGAGGGGGTTGGAATCATGCAGCCTTCCTGTTTAGGTGGTGGGGGTCACTTTTCTGATGCAGCCTTGGCCCAGACTTTGTAGAGAAGAGTTATCTCATCTCAACTCTAGGGGTTTCTCATCTGTCCTTTCCCAGCTTCCCAGCTTCTCCTTGCTGTGGCTCCATCCACAGTGCTCTCATCTGTCTCTGCTCTGCTGGAGCTCACCTGACTCTCTGCCTCCAGACTCTGTTCCATGTTGTCTGGCTTTCTTCTTACCTTCCTTTTCAAATCCACTTTCTTCCTTCAAATGAGCAATCCTTTTGAAGCAGGCAATTGTTACACTTCCTCGATTTTTGTTTTGCAACAACAACAACAATAATAATAATAATAATAATAATACTCAGTCTGTTCAATGTAGAGGTACTCTTGTCTCTCAGGGGTCTTTTGTAGTGTCAGATTGTAAGATTGGATACCACTGGCTTATAGGCCAACTGGTCTACCATGCTGTGCTTGTTCATTTGGTGTTTGGCAGAATCTCTGTAACAAAGAGCCATATTATAGCAAGCTTCTGTTTCTCCCAACTTGTTTCATCAAGTAATCCACTAAAGATTTTGGAAAGAGGAGCCAACATCTTTAAAAAAAAGAGGATGAGGAGAGGAAGGGAGGAATATAAAAAAGCCCCTCAACTATTCAGTTACACTAATGGCCCTCCTATTATTGTGGCACAATTACTTACAAATAAAAGGCAGAGGGAAAAACAAGTGCATTTGGTAGGTGTACTCTCTGTTCTCTGTCTTGTTTTTCTGCTCTGAAGTATGGTACTGTCTTGACGTAGGGATATAACTGCTATGAATATTGATGGCATGGCAGCCAAAACTTCTTTCCTGTCTGGCCTAGTAAATAAAGCAGGGAGGATGAAAGGGAAGCGGAATAGTCAAGCCAGTGTGCTGTTTTTAGATTAGCTCGTTCTCTTAGAACTAGTAGTCTTGAGAACATATTGACGATGTACATTTGGTGGTCGGGACAGCTCTGAGTACAGCAGGTGGGTATTTTCAGAGATCGGGGCCTCTGGTTATAGTCACAGAATGCTTCTCTTTGTGCTTTCAGAGTCCATGTTCCTTCCTGGATCTCTCCACACCTCCCAGTGCGGAGTCCAGCCCTGACCCTCACTGTATTGATTGTATTGTGAGTGGGAGGTTGTGTGCTGTGTCTGCTAGGAGGACATCCACCTAGGATGTGGCAGGGAGAGGATCGGGAGTCTGGGTTGCAGACAGAGCAGTAGTCTGTAGGTCCACGTGTGGCCTGTGGTGGCAGTGGTACATGGGCTGCTCTCGGGCATCTTCAGGGCTGCTTAGCCCAGAGTATCTGACTGTGTGAGGGAAGTAAGGGGCAGGAGTGGGAAGGATGACCAGAAGGTTGAGGGATGGTTACACAGGATGAGCCAGCTGAGAATTTAATCTGCTTGAAGGATCAGAAGTTACAAATGGGTGGGAAATGGATATGAGTTAGGGCTTTCACATCATAAACATCAAATGAGAGTTTCTTAGACTGATGTGATGATGTTCCAGGGATCCAGAGAGCACTGGAGGGCATGTTTAGAAATGATACAAGCCAAGGCTGACTAGGTAGCTCAGTGAGTGGGGATGCTTATTGCCAAACCTCATGACCTGAATTCATTTCCCTGAACCCACATGGTGGAAGGAGAGAATTGATGCTTGCTTGTTTTCCACTGACCTCCACATATATGTGTACACATGTGTGTATGCACACACACACACACACACACACACACACACACACACACACTCACATGTGGGCAGGAGGACATTCAGAGCCAAGAATGATCTAGGGTTAGACAAGGCAAAGCTGATCAATTGACTTTTACATAACAGACGAGGAGTCAGAAGGGTAGGCACTGTCCTGATGTATAGGCCGCAGCTGGCGATTGCCCTGGTGGCCCAGAGAGAAGATGTTGGTGGACAAGCCATGAGAAACTTCTGTCCTGGGGCAACCAGAGACGGGAGCCAGCTGTCTGGCAGCAAAGGCCTGCAGCCTAGCGGGCAGCTCAGACATTTGCATTGAAATGCAGAAGAGTGCCGCAGCTACTGCAAGCAAATGCATGCATAAGTGTATAGATATGTAACGTTTTTAGGAAGGCAGGCCTGTAGGAATCATCCTGATATGAATATCTTAAAAGATGATTTCCAAAATAAGTTCTTATGCAGAAGGATTTCTTTTAAAAGGCATAAATTAGCATTTATAAATACACGTCTGCAATAGTAGTCACGTGGAACAGCCGTGTCTGCCTTCTCCTGTGCGATCGGGGGGAAAGAAAGGACGACGTAAGAGCTGTGTCTGAGGCCGCTGGCTTCCGCACAGATGGAGAAGTACTCTCCCACTAACTCCTGTGATTTTAGAGGTTCTCTCTGTACATGCCTGAAACTCCCGTGTCCTCCACCAAACCAAAGTTTTCAAGAGTGGGACCGGAGTTGGGATATTTTTCGAGTCCTTGGCTCCTTCTGTGGTGTCTGACATGTGGAGGAAGAGCTCACTGTTTCCTGAGCCAAATTTGTTGTAGCCTCCTGTTCTAGGCATCATGATGAGCACAGTCCATGATCCTAAGGAATGGGACTCCTAAGGGTCATAGTAGCAGAGGAAATAGAGCCCACAGAGAAGAGTTCTCCTTAGATGATTTTTTGTTTTGTTGAGTAGATTGAAGTCGGAAAATGTTGCTGGGTTACACATGGCCCTGTCCATCTGGGTTTCTATCAAAATTGGGGCTGTATAAAGAAAACATTTATAGAAGGAGGCCTCCGTGTTTAGACCTGTTGATTAAGGCATCCTTTTCTGCTTGTGAAGTCATGTGGGTTGGAGTCGCAGAGGTTCTAGCCATCAGGCAATGCTACAGAGGTATGTGGAAGTCAGATGGGAGCAGCCATGGGTGCTGAGAGGGAGGCAGAGCTGTACCTGGGAGATTGCTTGGGGGTCCATCAGTGGTGCCAGCCAGTCACTAGGCAGTGTCCTGAGCATCTGAGTTCACTGCCTTTCACCCTGTGGGTGAGGGCAGTCAGATCTTGAGTAGAATAGGTGCTTGTCCAAGGTCACCTTGGCACACAGTGACAAAACTGGCTTGAACTTGAGATGTCATAAGAAAACCCGAGAAGAAATAAGGGTTAAGTCCATTACGTCTTCATTTTTTTTTCCCAGAGGGCGTTCTGTTCAAAGCCATTGTTGGGATATTTCTTTCATCCTTGTGCTTTTCTGGGCCTGTTCTGGAAATCTCGAGGGAAACGTACTGCGTTGGGCAAATGTGTGCAGATAGAAACCACGCCTGTTACAGCCTAGGAAGACTCATTGCACACGCATTAAGGCAGGTGGCAGAATGCAATAATGCAGCCTGGAACGATAGATAGGCCTTAACACTTAGCTGCTTATGAGAAATTCAGCATTAAAATCAAAATGCTTTCCCAGCCCAGGTGCAGGGTAGTGGTCCCAGTTCCTGTGATAAAATTGTAGAGGGAAATGCTTGTGTTTCTGAGCTGTTGGTTCTAATCACTGTCTCCTTTTTTCATCCTCCTTTCAACCTTGGTGCATTTGTCTCTCTTTACAGGAAAAAGTAGAATATGCCTTCCTGATTATTTTTACAGTGGAGACATTTCTGAAGATTATAGCATATGGATTGTTGCTGCACCCTAACGCTTATGTTAGGAATGGATGGAATTTACTGGATTTTGTTATAGTAATAGTAGGGTAAGTCCCTCTGGCTTTGGGAAAATGGAGGTGTGGGCTGGCAGGTAAAGGGTACATAGCCTTCTTGGGGAAGATGGCTGTTCTTATGCCAGAGATGGCGCCAGGTCCTTTCGGGAGTGTTTTCAATGGTGACAGATCTGCTGTCAGTCCCTGGGCAGAGTCAGCTGTGAAGATCTCTCATGACTGGTGCTGTGGTTGGGGAAGTCAGTAACACACTGTTGGAGGAAGTCTCAGCTGCTAATGAGAGATGATTCACCTCACAGGGCCTTGAATCTCCACAAATAGACCTGCCCTGCTGGTGGGTGGTGTCAAGTGAATACAGCTCCTAAAACCTAGCACCCTGCTAGTTAAAAACATGGGTATCATGTAATAAAGCCTTCTTAGCAATGAGGTACTTGGCTGTTTAATATCCCTTGAGCTAAGCTATTATGCTTTTATGCTGACTTGTGGGAGAAACTCTGGCATGCCACTTTCCCACTTTAAATAACAAAACAAGCGTCTGAATACTGTCACATATCTGGCATAAAATAAAATAAACTAGAAAATGCAGAGAAGCAGGTGTTCTTTGAAAACCCTGTTGCAAGAGGAAGACGCTGATAGATTTAGTTAAAGGAAAATGTTAGAATGAAAAACAGAGGTCTGTGTTGCTCTGTTCCTTCCACACCTGGAAATGTTGCCAGCAGAGGAGACATGAATCAGGTCTCAGCAGCAAACACCCACCAAGGAAGACAAGCTATAGCCCTGCTCCGGGGCCGTGTACCCTAGCTATCCTATGAGTTACTCCTAAAATTATGCTTGTTTTCATCAAGAGTGCTTTTTAAAGATGTATTTATTTTTACTTTATATGAATGAGTGTTTCACCTGCATGTATATCTGTGTACCCGATGCATGTCTACTGCCCATGGGAGCTAGAAAGGGCATCATATCCCTCAAAGTGAGGTAACAGATGGTTCTGAGCTGTTGTGTGGGTGCTGGGAATCAAACCCAGGTCCTCTGCAAGAGCAGCAAGTGCTCTTAACTACTGAACCATCTCTGCAGTTGTAAGAGAGCTTTTAAAGTCATCCCTCTGTTTTCAGATCAGTGGCTTTATTCAGCTGCCTTTTGCAGTTGGGCAAGCTGAATTATCTTTTTGGTTATCTGTTTGTATCATGATTCCTCTGGTTTTTCATTGGAGATGACATTTTCTGCCTGTTTGGAGAGCAGCTTAAGTATGGGAATGACCTTTCACACTAGGAAGTGAAAATGGGACCCAATGTGGTAGCCCATTGGATGGTTTTGCAAAACCTCCCTTAGTACATTGGCATCTAAGGCTCCATTGTAGTCAAATATATATATATATATAATGAATAGGTAGCAGATAGACGTGAAAGCAAATGCCTCCTCTTATTTGGTACACCTGTCAGGGAGTGGTAAGCTGGAGCCTGGGAGGTCTTTTGATTCTATAAGAATCTTGTAAAGCCAAGTGGTGGTGGTGCATGCCTTTAATCTCAGTACTCGGGAGGCAGAGGCAGGCAGATCTCTGTGAGTTCAAGGCCAGCCTGGTCTACAGAGTGAGTTCCAGGACAGGCTCCAGATCTACACAGACAAACCCTGTCTCGAAAAAACAAAACAAACAAAGAAGAATCTCGTGCCTTTCCTGCCATTGGACTTTATTCAACTAGAGAATGGAGATGCTTAGCCTCACTTCTTGTGTCCCCATGCTACAATCACCTTGGCTTTTTTTTTTTTCTGATGGAACATTTTCCCACAACAGCACACCATAGGAGCAGGGAACCAAGTTTAGGATATAAAATTCTGGAGACCTGAGAAACATAAAATGGGAAGGGAGACAACTAGTCAGAGACCTCTGTGTGCATGTGCCTTGGGATCCTCTGAAGTTTGGACTGACACTAAGCTGCAGTCTGTGAGGCCAATCAAACAAGATAGTTAAGGAAAAGAGAAAGACAGAGAGCAGAAACTACAAATAAATAATAACCAGAATTTGCCAAAGATTGAAAAGTGCTTGTTATCCAAATACCCAGAATGAATTACTGCACTGAACACCTTGGACTGTCAGTAGACGCCCAGAAAAGTCATTACTAGTGGAGTTAACCTAGATCTAGAGTAGAGTCTGGCAAACTATGGCCAGGGGACCAAATTCTAGTCAATCTGGCCTGTCATCTACTTTTATAAATAAAGTTTTATTGTAACATAGTCAATTCAATCATTGAGTTGAGGAGTCCAGATATAAAGCCTTAAAATATTTACTGTCCAGTCCTTTACAGAAAAACTCTGCTATCCCTACTCTAGAGTAAAGCTTGAAGCTTAGATAACAGTGTTTGAGAAGGAGCCTGAAGAAGAGAGAGCTGATAAGCAGGTAACTTAATTACCTAAAAAAAGAAAAAAAGAAACAAGACTTTTCAAAGGAAAAATCAAGTCTAAATACTTAGATGATTATTCTAAGTACCTCACCTACAATCAGGTAATACTAGATATATGCAGAAGTGTGGCCACTAACAGAAGGAGATTCTATGACTAGAAACAGACCCAGAAATCACAGAGATGATGGCAGGGGACTTTATAAGGGTTTTAAAACAACAGCTCTGATTGTGTTTATGGTATGACTACAGTGGGGGAAGGATGGAACAAGAAAAGAAACACATGAAACTTCAGGTTGTGAAAAGAACATAGGAAATGAAAAGGTCCCAAGATTGGCTCACTAGTGTACTAGGCAATACCAAACACACAAAAAAAAAAAAAAAAAAAAAAAATCAGGAAACTTAAAGATGTAGCACTAACAATAATAATTAAGGAAAAATGAGCACCTCGCTAACTTGTGAATTATCAAATGTTCTAATGTGTGCATTTGGAGTCTCAGAAGGGAAAGGTTGAAGAGATGGCTCTTCAGTTAAGTCTAAACAGTCAAGACTACTGGCTGCTCTTGCAGAGGACCTGAGTTTGGTTCCCAGAACCCACATTGGCAGCTCTGTAGTCCCAGATCCAGGGGCTCCCATGTCCTCTTCTGGTGTCTGTGGATACCTATATGCATATGGTGCACATAAAACACATACAGCTACACACACATACACATCATAAATACATCAGTAAGTAGTTTTTAAGAGGGAGAGAGAAGAAGGGGCCGGACGACAGAAAAAGAAAGTCCTTGAGGTGAGAGTTCTAAATGCTCCAACTGCGACGGAAAATGAACTCAGAAGTTCAAGATGCTTGGCAAAACTTGATCAGAAAAAACCATAGAGGAAAGTGCATCATAACCACAGTTAAGTAACAGGTAAAGAGAATCTGAAAACGGAAGAAGAGACATCTCAAGTACAAGCCAGAAGACAATGGATGCGCCTTCGGAGTCCTGGGGGAGATGTCAGCTTAGAGTTCTTATCCAGTGAAGTTCCTTCCAAAACTCAAGCAAGTCAAAATTGAAACTTCTTTAGACAAACCGAAGCTGAGACTTCGTGACTGGCATACTTGCACATCCAAAAATGTTAAAAGGTGGCTTTTCAGGCCAAAAAAAAAAAAAATGACATCAAGTAGAAATGAAGATACACACACACACACACACACACACACACACACACACACACACACTGAGGAATTCCCGACAGGGTGAATTTAAAGATATTTATCCTCATTTTAAAATCTCTTTAAAGTTAATTGTCTAAAACAAAGCAATAGCAACATCTTGTGTCACTTGTGCCATTGGCGGCAGTAAAATCCTGCATTAGCACAGGGACGGGAGCGGGTCATTGTGGGCTGTGGCTGAGTGTGTTTACACTTACAATGACAGAGTCTCCACTAGAATGGTAAGACGCTGTTTGAAGATAGACGGATCGTGAGCAGGTCAAAGTGTAGATTGTAAACCCTGCCCGGTGCCTAGATTGGCAAACTTCCAGCCCTCCACCCCAGAGCCTAGAGACAGCTCTACTTCGTAAGCCTGCTTCTCCATATTAGTTAGGCGTCTCGCCACCTACTTTGCAAATAAGGTTTTATTGTGACCAGCTGTACTCCATGTGTGGCTGTTTGGTCTACTTGATGTTTAATGGCAAAGCTGATTCAGTCCCCAGAGATCCTGTAGTCTGCAAGTCCTAGAATGTTTACTCATCTCCCTTCACAGAAGCTTCTGTTGACACCTTCCTTACGCGAGCCACACAGAGCTCTAATTATTAATATTAAGGCAAAAGTGAAGACTAAATGCAGTAGAAAGAAACACGAGAGCAAAAAAGTCAATTCAGAAAAAAGAAGAGAAGAAAAAACAAACAGAAAACAGACAACAAGATGGAAGGTTTAACACAGCAGAGCCCCAGTTAACACCATGAGTCTATCAGACTGCTGTATATAAAAACAAGACTCAAGTTCCTAATGTCTGTCTTTGTCTTTCTTTAATGCAAAGACAAGTGATTTGTGAATAAAGGGAGAGAAAAGGCAGCTAGAGGGCCTATATCAATATCCAACAAAGTCGACTTTAGGAAAAGGGGTGACTGGGCACACACAGAGAGGCATTTCATAATGATAAAGGAAGTTATCAACGATCTAAGAGTCCTCTTTGTTCAAATGTCCGGTAACAGAGCATCAAAGTGCCCGAAGCAAAAGCTGTTAGAGCTGAAAAAGGAGCAGAAAGATGAGTGGGTCCGGCTGTGCACCCCAGTTCTCTGTCCTGGAGTGTGGCGAGGACACAGTAGTGGACAGGGAGAAGGGGTGCACATTACTACTAACCACCTTGACTTTTTCAAAGAACTCCATCAGTAAAGCAGAATACATGTTCTTTTCACAAGCTTAGGACATCTTCACCAAGAGAGTAATATTCTGGGCCACAAAATAAATCTCAGCGAATTTAAGACAAAAAAATCATAGAGAATCAAGTTTTCTGAATGAATATGACAATGTTCCTGGATAAAAAGTCACCATAAAAAGCATAGGAACATCTAAATACTAGCCATGGGCAATCAGAAAATGAAAGTATTAATGTTCCTATTTACAATGGCACTAAAACGATGACCTAGTTAGGTATGGATAGCTCACTAAAATGGCAACGTCTTCATGGGAGGAACCAAAGAAAAGCCAAAGAAGCAGAGAGCGGTACCACACTCGCATGTTGGAAGATTTGATAATGTTAGCATTCCCACTTCTTCCCAAAGCAAGGTATAGATTGAATCCTAACCTAAATACTAGCAGGCTTTTGGAAAATTGACAAGATTTTTGTAGCATCTGTATGGAAATTAGACAGACTCTAAACTGGCCAAAGAAATCTTTAAGACGAAAGCTGGAGCCTGATCTTATAGCGTGCTCTAACGTTACTGGAGTCAAGATAGTGCAATATTGATGTTAGGAGTTGACGTGAAGATCAATGGAATCAAAGAGGGGCATCTAGAAATAGACACGTGTGTGCCATCAATTGATTTGAGAAAAAGATGCCTTGATAGTTCAATGGCATAAGGAAACTGTTCCCAGTAAACAGTGCTGGAACAACTATTTGTCAATATGAAAGACTATTCTTACCTCACTCCACATGTAAATGTTGCCTTCACACGAACCATAGGCACACATTTACAATTTAAAACTATACAATTTCAAGGAGAAAATACTGTAGAACACTTTTATGATTCCCAGGCTGGCAAAGCTTTCTAAGGCACAGGTGCAGGGGGTGACCTCCTTAAATCTCTGCACAGATGGAGGAGGCGTCGGAATTCAATCAAGGTATGTAGTGAGTTCAAGGCCAGCCTGGAACATGTGAGATCCTGTCTCAAAAGACAAAAAGGCCCAAAGCAGCACCCATTAAAGAGACAGTGAAAAGATTCAACTTTACCAAAATTTAAAACTTTTCTTCAAAAGTCAGAATGAAGAAAATGAAAAAAAAAAAAAGAAAGAAAGAAAAAGAAAAAGAAAAAAAGCAGTTCATGGAGGGCAAAATAAAATGTATATAGTGTGTATTCGCAGAGGGTAAAAAATATACACTAAGGTCAGATATATACATTCAGCATGTATAAAGGACTGTTCGAGAAGATAGCACACTACATAATGGGCAAAATATCTGAATGGATCTTCATTAAAAAAAATGTGTGGCTGGCCAGCTAGCCCCTGAACATTGTTAGTAAGTAAAGAAATGCTAATTAAAACCACAGTAACAACACTGTGTGCCTACCAGGACTACTGGGTGTAAAGAGACCAAATAGTAGCCAGCACATGGGCTAATTGAAACCCTTGTATACCACTTCTAAAGAATGGAAGCAGTAAAACCACTTAGAAAGACCCACCCCTTTCTTCCAGTATTATAAACATTTACCAAGTGACCATATTACTAGTTTTCTGGTATTTATCCAAAGCAATGAAAACACGTGTCCACAGAAAGACTTTATTTAACATAGAGGAAAACTGAAAATAGCTTTATACCACAGAACAGGTAAATTGATAAAAATAGCATGACATGTTTACTTAATTGAGTATTTTATTTAACAGTAAGATAAACTTACAAATGTAACAGCTTGGGTGAATATCAAAAACTATAATAAGCAAAAAGCATACCATGGGATTCCTTTCTATAGTGCCTAGAAAGGGAAAGGCCTCTGTAGAGAGTAGTCCATCAGTGGTAGCCATGGGCGGCTGCAGAGAGAGGACCTGGAGACACTGGAATCCTCTGTCTTGACCCTGGTTGTTTGTGGCATTTCCTTCTGTGTTCGTCATAACTCAGCTAATTTAAACTTTAAACAGGTGCATTTCTCATATGGAAAATAGACTGTGGTGAAGTTGATTTAAAGATAAAAGTAACTTAAGGTAGAGCTAGATTCAATGGTATTTTGTAGTATAAAAAAACTCACAGATTATTTATCTAAAATATTAACCCAGTCCCTACCACCATGAAAAAACCCAGGAAGTAAAATTCTTACTAAATTGTGGTTGGTCATGGACAAGAACGGAAGAAAAATTATAGAAAAGGAAAAGAACAATTATGATGTCTCTGAATCACATTCCCACTCACTAAAGTTTCCACCTGCAGTCTGTTTCTCTGTCCGGTGAGTTGTCCGTTCTGAGTCCATTGCGACATGTTACTTTTGGCAATATCCCCACTGAAAAAGACATTAAGAAATTAGCATGTAGCTGTTAATAATGTGAGCGCACAAGGATCGAGGGGCCTGCGGTGGCTGAAGTTACTTCCTTTAAAGAAAGCGTGGTCTGGATCAGCTCTCGCCCCACTCTCTGGGTTCTTAGGCAAGAGATATTTTCGGCATTCAAACTTGTCACTTAAACTTTTGTGAGGGAGAACATGGTGTCCCCATTCTGGTGCACCGGGTCTCGGTCAGTTTGGGCATGTCCTTTTCTCCTCATGGAGAAAACCTTCAATAATAACCTAGGATCCCATATCTCTGCTTCCTTCCCTGTGCATATCTGTTCAGGTGCTGAGGTACATGACACATTATTATTATTACTATTACTATTATTATTATCATTATTGGTTGGAGCAGGAGAGGAATAGACTGTAGAATCTGAGATCAGAGAGGGCAGCGCTCTGAGATGAAGTTTTCTCATTTTACTGAGGGGGAAACTGAGTCCCAGAGAAGAGAGGCTTCACAACCCACACCAAATACAAGCTGTAGCAAGCGTCTCTCTGACTCAGGCTCTTGTGTGGTGGCAGAGACATTCTTCACCTGTTTTCAAGGACACTGTCGAAGAATGGGGGATGAAATGACATTGCAAAATCCCGTGCTTGTGAACAGTGTCTTCAGTCACCCTGTGCTTGTGAACAATGTCTTCAGTCACCGCGTGCTTGTGACAGTGTCTTCAGTCACCCCAGCTTGTGAACAGTGTCTTCAGTCATCCCAGCTTGTGACAGTGTCTTCAGTCACCCCAGCTTGTAAACAGTGTCTTCAGTCACCCCAGCTTGTGACAGTGTCTTCAGTCACCCCAGCTTGTGAACAGTGTCTTCAGTCACCCCAGCTTGTGACAGTGTCTTCAGTCACCCCAGCTTGTGAGCAGTCTGTCTCCAGTCACCATCTGCAGAAGTTGCTCTCCTAACCCTTCGGGTTGAACATTCCTGTGGCTTCCACATCTGCAGTTTGAAGTTTGCCTTTCTTCCTCTCATTTGGTTTCTCTGAAGCTGTGAACTTGGTTTTGGGAGGAGAGATTTTTTTTTTTAACATTAGCTTTGCTGCGGGAGTTTACAGTCATTTTTAAAAGCCAACGTCATAGGAAAGCTGTCCTAGCCTTGATCAGTTTTCCCAGTCGGAACTCAAGCTAGCTCCCCATCAGAAGCTTTGAGAAGGTAGAGACCTGGCTGCTCCCCCTCCTGGGCCCTTGCTAATTGCTGTTTTGTTATGAAAACAAATGCCCTTGAGTCACAGTGCTATGCCCAATCAGGCCAGCAATCAGACCACCCTGTGTTTTATGGACCTAGTGTCTTGGTGACCCAGAGGCCTGTCAGGGAGGGGGCAGAATTTCTGTTTTGGCTGCTAATTAAACTTTAGAGACCGTTTCTTTATTGTGGGGCCAATCATTCCCACAATCTGATTGGCCAGAGTTAATGCTATTTGCAATGGGCAAATTTATTATTTACTCAGGAAAAAAAAAGAGCAACCATTCCAAAGAATAAATATTTATTTAAAAAAGCAAAAATAACTGTCAACTGAGAAGATTGTCCAAAAATAGTGTTATCCGAAAAACCTAAGAGTAGGAAAAAGAACTTACCCTTGCTGCCAGATGCAACATCACTCCCATTTCGGAAGGGAAAACGGCGATATTAATGCCTTCCCTTAGATAACCCTTTTAGCCTTTGCACACCACAGCTCCCTGGCATCTATCCGTGATTTGCTGTGTTTTGACAAATACCTCCATGAGGCTGCAGGTGGCGGGTGTCAGCGGCTGCGCTGGGAGAGGTGTAACACATTAAGATGTGGGACTTTGAAGTCGTCCATCTATTTGGCCGTCCAGACATTTCTTGAGCACTTCGTATGTGCCAGGAGCTGTTTTAGGAACGGAGCTGAAACAGACGAAATGAACAGATGAAAACTCACTGCCCTCGTGGAGCCTACACCTTGACCTTGTCAACAGCGCACCTGGATTCAAGTGTTAGCTCTGCCACTGGTGGCCCTACCTTGGGCAGATGAGCCTTTCCTGTCAACTTGGTTTCCACATGTGTGTCACGGGATCTCGATGATGCCGTGGGAGCGGGCTTTTGTGAGGGTGAGCGTGGTGGCAGATGGGAAGTACAGTTTGGGCTCAAAATCATGGCCACCAAGACCATTGTCATCAAGGCAGTGCCCCTTGTTCTCTTGGGAGCCTCAGTGAGTCCCTGCTTCTGGCTGCTTTGTTGGCATGAACACAGATCTGAGTACACACACACACACACACACACACACACACACACACACACCGTCAGAGGTCCTTCAGGTAGCAGGGCAGGCTGGGCTTCCGTGGCCAGGCTATTGCCTTTATTTAGCTTCCTTGTATTTAGTTAACAGCCACCCAGAATTAGCACTTGTTCAAAAATAACTGCTGTTATCACCCCGTATTGCTTACCTGGATGACAGACTAACATGTGTTTCTCTCTTCCTCTTTCAGATTGTTTAGTGTAATTTTGGAACAATTAACCAAAGAAACAGAAGGCGGGAACCACTCCAGTGGCAAATCAGGAGGCTTTGATGTCAAGGCCCTCCGTGCCTTCCGAGTGTTAAGACCACTTCGACTTGTATCAGGAGTGCCCAGTAAGCTTCCTAACCCCTAGAAGTACTGCTTTTCCCCTGTTGGGTGGGTCTCAGGATCGGGAAACAGTGCTCCGAGGTGAGTTGCCCTGTGCCTGGTAGGGGCCCAGCCGCAGTAAGGCCTTCCTTGATGCTGGAGGACTCGCACCATCCCCTTGGCTGTCTGGGACATTCCTGAAAGAGGAACGGATGGTGCTTATTGCCATGGCTTTTCAGAAGTCTCTTCATGAGGAGAGGCTGGGTGGCAGTAGGAGGCCGGGACTTCCTAGTTTCCTGTCCAGTTCTGCACTCGGATGGTGCCCTGTGGCTTTCTTCCCAAGCCTGCCTCACCTAAGAGTGGTAGCCATATTGAAGTCGGAGGGCTGTGAGTGGGGAGCAATGGGGGAGGGGGGGGCTGGGCTTCTGGAAACTCCGATGGACCCCACCACTAGTGATGACATCTGTCCCCTCTCTGAGAAGAGGGAGGAACCTGCCACTTTGCACACCTGTGTAGAGAGCACAGCACTACCCTGTGTGATTGGTGTTATGAGAACCCCACAAGACCATGAAGGAAGACCCTGGCAGGAGTGGGGAGGGGGGGAGACTGGTGCCTTCCAGTAGACTCTACCATGTCGGTCAGTGCCTGGCCCTGCTTACCTTCTGACTCTGACCTCTGGGCTCGTTGAGGCTCACCTGGGTTGGGAGGGAAGCTCCTTCCTGAGGAAGCCTGCTTGGCCTTTGCCTCACGAGCTCTGCCGTTGGTGAGACTGTATCTTCTGGGGCCTTGAGAGGGTAGACATACTCATACCATGCCAGCACTGCTGCTTCTGAGGGGGTGGGCTACCCAGAGCTGGAGCACGGATACAGGCCTGCGGCTACACCCGCTTTCCTCAGCTCATAAAGCCATCAGAACACTGATGCTTCTCCCCCCAGACGGTCTTCATGAAGTTTTATTAAACCTTAGGCACTCAGAACGCACCAAACTCCTCTGGAAAAAAAAATACTACATTTCCAAATTTAACATTTAAAATGTAGGAAGTGGTGTTTTAAGTGTACTTATTTTTCCAGATGGTTCATTTATTTTCATTGAAAAAGATCAGTGCAAGTCAAAAACCACAGAACTGTCTGGAAGCAATTGAGAGAAATAGAAATACCTTGGCAATGGCTGGCACTGCTAAGTGTAACATGATGAAATGAGAGACTTGGTGAGCAAATATGCTCCTTCAGACTTGGTTGTCACAGCTTAATCTAATTTCAAAGTAACCATGACAGCCTTTTCCCCCTAAAGAGCAAATGGCAGGCCAGCCTGCCTGTGGCGTGTGCTGCGTGCAGACTCGGAACCGTGGCTCGCGTGTGTATGTGAGGCCCCTGCCAGTGAAATCTCACAACTGGCCAGGCTTGGCCTTGGCTCCCAGGGCTAAGGAGGTTTCTACAGAAGGGTTAGCATTCCACACACTCTGCAGAACGGTTTTCTACTCTTCCTTCCTCTAAGACACAAGGCTATTTGAGTTTGTGCTAGTCTGTGTCTTACTCTGTCACAGGCCACCAGAGGGAAACACGGCTCTGACCTTCAGCCCATCTTTTAGCTGATTTTGTCAGGCAATATTTGCCTCAGATCCAAATGGGCTTGGGAGAAAGGAATTGGGACTTGCAGGCCATGCTGTTTTCAGATGTGGGCTTGGTGATTTCTTCTCCAGCACCTGAAATCATTGAAAATGCCCAGGAATTATGGCTATACTTAAAAAGCATTGTCTTCTCATTCCTGAAGATTGAGTCTGCTTCACAGAATATAATTTTCGTGTGCACCCAAGTAGATAGTCCTTAAGGGAAAGGCAAGTGCATTCCACAGGGGCATAGTTGAATCATGTGGAATTATTTTTCAATTGTATTACATTTATTATTTGTGCACACACACACACACACACACACACACACACACACAGAGGCACATGCATGTACTCATGAATGTGTGTCATGGCACATACTGTGCAGGTTAGAGGGCAGCTTGAAGAAGTCATTTCTTTCTGTTTACCTTGACTCAGATAATCAGGCTTGGCAGCAAACTCATTTACCCATGGAGTCTTCCCACCAGCACATTAAAAAATTATTATTTGTGTGTGTGTGAGAGAGAGGGGGGGGAGGGAGAGGGAGAGGGAAAGGGAGAGAGAGAGAGACTTGTGGACTTTTGTCCATCCACATTCTATTATCTGGTAAATGTTTATCAGAATCTAAGGGCACAAGGTGTGGCGGTACACACACTTAATCCCCACACTTGGGAGGCAGAGGCAGGTGGATCTCATTGAGTTTGGAGCCAGCCTGGTCTACAGAGCGAGTTCCAGGACAGCCAGGGCATTATAATGAGACCCTGCCTTAAACAAAAGAAAGAACAAAACTAGAATCCAAGACCACAAAAATGGGAAAGAGCACTGGAGACCCTCTGGCTGGTTCTCACTGTCTTTCGGAGGATCTCAGGGAGGCAGTGACTTTTGAACTCTCACAGCCAATGAGAAGCCGCACAGGGCCAGACCCAGGACTCCTCGCCCGGGCATGGCAGCCTTCTCATGCCTTCCCTGTGTGCATGTTGATGATGTCCTAAGGAGCTAAATGTAATGAAAGCATATGTGCTCAGTTTGTGATACAATGCGATGTTATCTCAGGAGTTTGGCCAATCTGAAACACAGTAGTTCCACTAAACATAAATACATTCCCGAGACAAATGGTTCGCAGCAGCAGAGTTTGAGAGTGCCTTAGAATGGCCTCACCTGTGTCTAAAAACAGAAAAATAGAAAAGAAAATGTCAGAATAACAGCCAAGAGACTCTGCCCATGTATATGGGAGCCAATGCTCCCCGCCCCCCATTTACTGCCTGCAAGAGATAGAAGTTTTAAAAAATCATCTTGTTAGTCTTGTTTTCAAAAGAAACCATTTGAACATTTAAAGATGGGCCTCGAATTTTAGCCACAAAGAAAGTTTTATTGAGACAGGGTCTTGCTGGGCTTGAAGACCCCTTGTCAGCCTCCCGTCCTGCCTGTCCCCTGCCTCTTCCCACACGTTTACCAGGGGAGACAGGCGGTTGTAGCTGCGAGGGCTTCTTTTCTTTTTCTTGCCTTATTCCGGCTGCTGCTTTGTTTTAACTCTAAGTAGTTTAGCTTCTTCTCTTCTTTCTTTCTGTCTTTGAATAAACCTTGGGAAAATAAGAAGGGGAAGAAAGAGAAAAGGAGTGAGTAGCCATGTAGAAGCTGATGTTTGAGTGCTGGGGGGAGTGTAAGATGCTAAGCGCTGAGCTGGGAAACCCCTCTGCCTTTTAAGCTGATCGCTGTCCACTTGCTCTCCCTGAGGCAACATTTGCTGGTGGACTCAGGTCTGATTCCAAACCCAAATTCAAAACCCAGTGTAGCATGGCTGTGGCGTCTTTGCTGATGGCCGTTATGACTAGTTGTGATGACACCCCACCCCAGCTCACACTGTACACTGCTTACTTCCCTGGTGGGTTTTCTGCGGAAGCCTCCCTGTGGGTGTCCATCTTCAGGCCCAGACAAGAGGGAAACTACTTCAGGTCCTCTGTCCTCACCCTGCTCAGAGCCAGTGCTACATTCCTCTTTAATTTTCCATTTGCTGTTTCTCTACAGTGTTTGCATACTACCCGAGAGTAATTTGTGTCAAATCCTTATGTTTCCTTCTAGACTGTCACCTCTTTAAGAGAGCGGCTTTGTATAATTCATCTTTATATTTCTCAAAGCACTACCCCCCATATTTTGCATATTTGGGTGGTCCTGTTAAATGGATATAAAAAATACATAAGTGAATAAATAATTCTATTACTGGCTACTCCTCTCTGGGCCTTAGTTTTTCACAGCTGTCTAGTGAAGGAGTTGGATTAAATGATCTTTAAGAGTCTCTTTTTATCTCATCTCATATCTAGGCTTAGTATTAATTAGCAGCTTTGAAATAGCTCTACATTTTAGTGCCGTATGTCATAACTAGAGCAAGCATCACTTGGGATTATATTTATGATACATTTGAAGTGTCTTCCTAACTCACAAATGGATTTTTCTTTCTCCTAGGTTTACAAGTTGTTCTGAACTCCATTATAAAAGCCATGGTCCCCCTCCTTCACATAGCCCTTTTGGTATTATTTGTAATTATCATCTATGCTATTATAGGATTGGAACTTTTTATTGGAAAAATGCACAAAACATGTTTTTTTGCTGACTCAGGTGAGTAATGACAGCAGTTATTAACCAGACATGAAAACATTTTGGTTTGGGGGAGGTGCTGGTCTCCTGAGCCTTTTCCTCCCATCTATTCTCTCTTTGTGTGTGAATTGTGTTGAGGATAAATGGGAATTTATTCTTCTTTTCCATCCTGATTGCCTGTGGAATGTGTCCTAGCTGATAAGATGGGGGGAAGGGAGGCCTGCACGGGGCAAAGCAGGACACACCATTCTGTCAGCCCAGGAAAGGTACTGCAGATGTGAGTGCAGAGCCATGGTGGTGGGTGTCCGGAAGAAACGGAGCTCCACTGGTGAGGGGCTGTTCCGAGTGGAGCTCAGGGAGATTCTGAGGTGTTAGCAGGAGTCCTGGTGTTTCCCTTCTGAACGGCCCTCTGCTTCCTTCTCCGCAGATATCGTAGCTGAAGAGGACCCAGCTCCATGTGCGTTCTCAGGGAATGGACGCCAGTGTACCGCCAATGGCACGGAGTGTAGGAGTGGCTGGGTTGGCCCCAATGGAGGCATCACTAACTTTGATAACTTTGCCTTTGCCATGCTCACTGTGTTCCAGTGCATCACCATGGAGGGCTGGACAGACGTGCTCTACTGGGTAAGCGGCTCGAGGAGCGTTCACAGCATGTTCTTGAGAGCAGCTGGCCGAGAACGGAGCCCTGGGGGTCAGTTCTCTGTGAAGGGAAGCAGACTTAGGCCCTCTCTTCACTTGGTGAGCCCCTCCCCCTGCTCTAGCGGAATGCCCAGCCCTGGAAGGCTGCTGCATGGCGGCATTAGCTCCTGGCCTTGGAGTCCTTCACCTCCCCCCCCCCCAGTGCTGCTGGGGGACTTAGTCTTACCTGTGGTTGCTCCTGCCCACTAATCCCTTCCGGGAACTCTGGAGGCCATGGCTGTCCTGATTCAACTGAGCGATCTAGAGCAACACTTCCTAAGGAAGAGGCGCCCAGACTCCCAGTCTGTACATAAAGGCAGTTATTTGACTAGACCCTAAAGGGGAGGTGGGAAACAGCCAGGCCCCTTTCATGCTTCCATGACTTTATGAGACCACGGCTCACCACTAATTTTTCTTCCTTTCCACTTCCCTCCCGTATCCCTAGCGTCACTGCCAGCCAGGCCAGAGCAAGTCCTGCCTCCACTCTCTCTCTCTCTCTGTCTCTCTTGAGCCAAAGAGCTCTGGCAGGAATGATAGATGAGTCAAAGTATAGGGCTGGTTAACCCTCGAATGGGTGACTAACCTCTTGGTGACTAGGGTCTGATTCCCCTCATTGGCAGAGCCAGGAAGGTTGGCTGTAAATGAAGTACAGCAGCCATTTCCCCAAGTGACTTGGTGTATAGGCAGAATTTTTAAAGCTCACAGAAATGCAGAAATAATTTTTACCCCATAGTAGATGAGTTGCTGGGAAATACAGTAGCGCGTAGATTTTGAGCCCAAATCCAAATCCCGTCAAACTAGTATTCCAATAGTTAATTGTTTAGAGAAGTGGTTCTCAACCTGTGGGTCACAACCCCCCAGGGGGGGGGGAGCAAATATCAGCTATTTATATTGTGATTCACAACAGTATCAAGATTACAGTTAGGAAATAGCAAGGAAATGATTTTGTGGTTGGGGGGTCAACATGAGGAACTGTATTAAAGGGTCGCAGCATTAGGAAGGTTGAGAACCACTGCTTTAGAGGATATTAACAGTATTTCTTGACTAGGCAGCTTCTTGGTTAAAAGGCTTAGAAACGGAGAAGCGGCTTCTGATAGTTTCTAAATCCTAAACTTGACACAGTTTCCTACCACTCTCTACCTTCAGAAAATGCACCATCTGATGCTTAGCCGTGGGTTTGCTTCCCTTCACCGGTGAACGCTATGCTTGTGAGACTCTAGGTGGTCCTATATAGCCGGCCCTCCGTATCTGCGGATCCTCCATCCATAGGTTCAATCCATGGCTGATTGAACCAAATGCCGATTGAAAATAATTTAGGGGAAAAACATCCTCATTGACTATGTCCAGACTTGTTTTGTAATTACTACCTAAACAATAGTATAATGGTTATTAAACGTAGTCCCGAGATGATTTAAAGAATATGGGGCATGTGGATATAGGTCATGTGCAAATACTGTGCTGTTTTATCGAAGGGGCTTCAGCAGCTTTGGCTGTGCCTGGTCCCTGCAGATACTGAGGGTCGACTGTATATTCTGTTAAGTGGAGAATGAGCATCACCAACTTGCTGTAGCCTGTTTGTCCTTCATCCCTTTTTCTGATTGTTGTAGGAGTGTGTGTGTGTGTGTGTGTGTGTGTGTGTCTGTGCACGTGTATCTGTAGACACAAATGTTAATTATAGCCACCAGCAATACCTTCTCATGGAGAGGAAGGACAGGCATTGTTAGCCACAGAGCTCCAGGTTTGGGTGAACTGTTGGCTTTCACTCCAGTCCCCTAAACTGCAGCTCCTGAGCAGAGCAAAACCTCAGTCCCAATTTTCCCCTGAAATGGCTGATAAATAGAGCATATCATCCCCAAAGCCCAAGCTCTGCCTATTCCCTCCCCTAAACAGGAGAGAACAGTTTTTTCATTTTTTAAAAAAAGTAAAAGTCTGTGACTGTCTCAACCTTGTCTTCTATTGTCATGGTGAGTTGCCAGATGACGATCCAACATGCCTCGACTAATGGACAATTTTCTAGTTTATCATATTTTTGCACATCAATTCTCTCACAGCAATTGTCTTGTTACCATGCAGAGAAAATTTCAAGAGTGTGTGACCGAAGAAGAGAAAATATACCAGAAATACCAGTTTCCATTTACTTTTTTTTTTTAGAACTTTTAAGTATCACCTGTGATGATGAAATGATCTTTATTGTTGCTATGACAATAACGTAATTAATAATTGGACAATTTAATTAGAGCCTCTGGATTATATAACACCTTTATTATGATGGGGGAGCACATATTCCTCAACATTACTCTGGTCTCTATCATAGCAGAGCTGAGATCTTGAGGATGGAGACAGTGCTGTATAAAGAGACCCGTGAGCATCCCCAGGGCCTTCCAACAAGTGTTGTAGTCTTTGATTAAGGGTGGGGACCTGTGAACATTTTAATAAGGGGCTTAAGAGTAAACTGTTAGGCCTTGCAGCATGTGATCGCCATCCCAGCCATCAGCTCAGCCATTGAGCTTGGAGCCAGCCATGGAGTAAGCATCATTGAGTGGATAGGGCTCTGTCTTGGCTGGATTTCATGTATGGGCCCTGAAATCTGAATTCCCTATGACTTTCATATATCATAGAGCGTTCTCCTTTGTATCTACCCCCATGCCCATGCCCATTGAAAAACAGGAAGTCCGTTCTTAGCTTTTGAGACTCATATAAAAGAAAAGTAGATTTGGCCTTCAGATCACAGTTGAGGGGCAGCTGGCCTAGACTGGGACCCAGTATGCTTTCCTCTTTATTCTTCCACTTGCCAGTGGTTTATGGATTCTTCTGTAACACTAGAGGGCAGCTGAGTAATGTCCTCTAGAGTGTTCTTTAAGACCTTACTGTCTGAAACACATCAGGATTATTTTTAATCACTTGTTGATTGCTTTTATTAGCTCATCATAAAGATAGGCAGGAGCCAAGGAACTAAACTTTCCTAATACTTTATGGGCCACAGTCAGCTGGAAGCCACACAGCTGTGTCCCTGAACAGAACATCTCCGTCCAGCACAAAGCCTGGCCTAAAGTGAGTGCTCAACAAATACACATGACTGTTGCCACCCGTGAACCCACTGGACTGAGCCCATTCCCTCACTGGTGTAGATGGGCTGTGTCTGGGTATTTTTATCTACTCTCTTGGAAGAGAAAGGAAATTCAGTTTTAAATCTCAATTGAAAACCAATTCCTCAATTTAGGGTTTTGTATATGGTGGACAAAGTCTTTGCATCTAGACAAGTTTATATTTAGTCTGTGCTCTTCAGTGCACCTAGGTCGTAACTCTCAAGAGTTTCTGGCAAATGTCTGGCAGGATCTTGGAAAGAGATGTGCACAAAGGCACACACCTGGAGCAGCACTATTTGGAGATGTGGGGAGTTGGGATCATGAACTGCTGCTGGGGAAATATATTGTAGACTTTTCATAAAGTGAGCTCCACAAACATATTTAAAGTGCTGTTCAGCTCACGCAGACGTCCATAGAGACAATAGTGCAGGGCAGAGAAAGAGCTGGACAGGGCAGGTTTCTGGATCCCTCTGGGTTTTGATGTCCTTGTCTACAAGATGCACAATTAGCATCTTATAGACATGCTCTTTTTTCCTTCAACTTTGAGGATTTTGTTTATTTGTTTGCTTCAGAGGAAATGTTTTGAATGTAGCAAACTAATGTCTAAGTATTGGTTTTAGGAGAGTGCTGTCTGAGTCCCCTATAACCTCTTGTCAGCACCAAGCTTTTTCCTCAGGGGTGCACAGGGCTGTGGGGGTGCTGGCGGACAGACCTCAGAAGGACTTGATCCCCTGACAGCGCCTCTCAGTCAAAGCACCTGGGAAATTCTTCTGTGCCCAAGCAGCCACGCTTGCCTTTCCCAGTCTGTGCTCTGAGGCACTCCAGCATCTTCTGAGAGTTAGCAAAACCAAAAACCCTTATGCTTTCCTTTAACTTGAGGCATACATGGGCAGTTAAGCCTATTTTTTAAAATAAGAGGAAAAAAAAAAAAAAGAAGAAGCCGGGCAGTGGTGGCCCACGCCTTTAATCCCAGCACTCGGTGGGCAGAGCCAGGAGGACCTCTGTGAGTTCAAGGCCAGCCTGGGCTACAGAGTGAGATCCAGGACAGGCACCAAAACTACATAGAGAAACCCTGGCTTGAAAAACCAAATAAATACATAAACAAACAAACAAACAAACAAATAAATAAAATAAGAGAAAACTGAAGTGAAATAGGAAATTGTCTTGGGTGCCAGGTGGCCCTTTATGATGAGACTGACATAAATACTTTAAAAATTAATCTAAATCGAAGTGCTTTCTTTCATGCTGGTGTCTTCATTGTTGATGAAGACCATGCAGACAGATACACAGCCCTGAGCAGATAACATGTCTTCCATGTGGGTATTTGGGGAACCAGCCCAGAAGTTGTGATATCCCGGCCCCCCCCCCCCCCCCCCGCCCATGTCCTCTGTCTGTCGTCTGTCTCTGTCTCTGTCTCTCTTCTCTGCACGTGCTTCTTCCCCAGGCCTGGTTCTTTTGTCCCCCCCCGAGCCCATGTGTATGATCAGCTTTGAGGACTCAGCTCCGCAGCAGGTGTGTGTGGAGAAAGACTGGCCCCGAGAGCTTAAGTTTCTTCTCATCTGGCAAAGAGAGGAGAAGCTCCGCTTGGCTGTGCCCAGCTCCTGCCTCCCCTCAGTCCTCCTCAGCTGTCCTTCTGGGTGACAGTGACTTGAGAGATTCGAGTCTGCAAAGCACCCACCTCCCAAGAAATTCCAAGGCGTCTTCATTTCTTAAATGAGACGTCCCCGAGGCAGCTGTCACCACAGCTTGCCTCAGATGCTGCTGAGGCCCCAGGAGGGCAGGTGGGGCAGATGGCCTGATCAGCAGACTTGGCCAGTCTCACGAGTAAGGTGTCTAATGAGAGCCCTGCCCTGGGTCAATCTCTCCTCTGCCGTGTACACACCCTGCTCCAGCAGAGGCTAGAAATGTCTGTCCCAGGTGTCGATCCAAGGCCGAAGCTCTGTCCGCCACACCAGGCAGCCTGTTTCATCCCCCTGCGTGTGGCTTTTTAAATAAGTTTGGTGGTGTAGTTGCTTTGGAAGAATTACCCTCTGCCTTCCTGCCGAAATTAGTTTATCCAACTTAATTAGATCAACAATTGGAGCCATGGCCCTGCTCATTCATTCCTCTCATTGCCGATGTGCAGATGGATAGGGGTTCTATTAAACATCAGTGTTCATGTGGCCGAAAAGGTGTTTCATAGGGGAGTTAATGCCCTCTCCCTAGACTTCAGCGACAGATGTTAGGTTTTTGTTTTTTTGTGTGTTTTTTTTTTTTCTTCTTCTTCTAATGTTCCCTTTTCCTGTTTGGCTTCTGCACGAGGCAAACATTGTGAAATGCATGAGCCTCTTTTTGTAAAGCTAAAACCTGGAAGCAGATAATGTGCAAAAAGGCACAGGGCTTAAAAACCCTAAGGGTTTGCACCTGCCGGGAAGAGCGACTGGCCTGTCTGGATTATTGACTGGCTGAAGAGTCAGGGTGATCCTGCAGAGCAGGGCCTGGAGTCATTTACTCTGTTACCTGATTGCTAACATCTTAACATCGCCTTCCTCAAGGAAGAGTTTGTCCCACTGAACACTGACCTGTGCTGCTGGAAAGTTCCATCCAGCTGTGACCCATCACACACCTCTGTGCAAGCAGCTGACTCCCAAACCATCCCTGACAAGAAGGCCATGCCTGAGTGAGCAGTCAGCTGCTTCTCTGGCTTTTTGAACACCTGTCAGGACACAGAGTTGGGGTGGAGAAGGCTGCAGTTCAAGCCAGGTTCTCTTAATGGGTGCAGCTGAGAGAGAAACCCATTCCCAAAGCGTCCCAAACACATGGCAGCTATTAACCTCGGAAACAGTCTTGTTTCCATGTTTATTTAGTAGTACTGTGTTCACGGGCTGCAGATAATCCAAATCTGAGGTGGGCCAGGCATCCTTGGGTAGATAGATGGGATGATTAGCTTCAAATAGATGGTAGTTATTTTAGATATAGTTATTTATTTTGAGAGCGGGTCTCACTGTATAGCTGGCTGGCCTGGAACTCTCAGTGTAGATCAGGCTGGCCTTGAACTACAGAGGTCCATCTGCCTCCCAGGTGCTAGATCAAAGACATGTGCCACCATGCCCAGCTAGTTTTTTTTTTTGGTTTTGTTTTCTTTTTCTTTTTCTTTTTTTAAGAGTTTATAGAGTCACATATAACCGGCTTGACTCTCTAATTAAGACTTCCACTTCCACCCAATTTTAAAAGCAGTTAGGGCTAATACCCGGGGTGGAGCAGCCATGAGGATCCAGGAAAACACTAGCTCTACCCTCTACTGAGCCTTCCCCTGGAAGATGCTCGTCAGGACAGGGTCCTGGGATGGAGCCAGATCTCAGCTCATTTCCCTGCCTAGGACCAGGACCTGCTGTTTGGCCTGAAGCCTCCATGAGTCTTCTTTTGTGTGTGCAGGCATGCTTGTGTGCCTGTGTGTGTTGGGAATATGTAATGAATGTCTGCTGGCTGCTGCTGTCTCTGATTTCCGTTAAGTAAATGTTTAATTCAATGTGTAGACTGTTCTCTCTAATGTGACCCTCTCTCTTTGTTAGATTCTTCTATTAACCCACGCCTATGAGTCCATCTTGTTTCTTACAGATGAATGATGCTATGGGATTTGAATTGCCCTGGGTGTATTTTGTGAGTCTCGTCATCTTTGGGTCATTTTTCGTACTAAATCTTGTACTTGGTGTATTGAGCGGGTAAGCTACATCTCTTTCATCTTGAAAGCAGAGTCCTGAGGACAGTTGCCAAGACCACACAGGCTTTGCTAGAGGGGCCAGTGGGTGGGTACTCTCCTTTTGTGTTGCTCTCACTTCTGCTGAGGTTTCCCAAACCAAGCTACTTCCTGGAACTTCACCAGCTGTCATGAAAGAGAGCCATGGAGAGATTATTGACCAGGAATGAATTAATCAGTATTGTTTCTTGGGATTTAAATAATTTCCCTTGCTTGGCCTTTTGTCTGTCCTAAAATGAGATACATTTATGATTGCTTTCTTGATCTGGATCCAAATACAATGCCTATTAATTGGCACAAAACTGCAGCTAGATGAGTAGTCTAGGCTGACTCTGGAGAGTCCCTTCATGAAGACTTCAGCCTTAGGGCTTGCCCTATCCTGAGGAAAACAATGCAGGGACCCCCACTCACTCAAGCCCTTCCCTTAGAACACTAACCTTCAGCCAAAGCCCTGAGTGGTCCTGCAGCTGCAACCGGGACTCTGTTCTTTAGTAAATGGATTACTGATAACTGATCTCCTTACATTTTACAGGTAAATGATGCGATAGGATGGGAATGGCCATGGGTGTATTTTGTTAGTCTGATCATCCTTGGCTCATTTTTCGTCCTTAACCTGGTTCTTGGTGTCCTTAGTGGGTAAGCAGTTGGATCCCTGTTGTACACTCTCTGCTGCCACGTGGGGGGCAGCCCTGTGTCTCCCAGCTGCTCCCCAGTGGCTTCTCTGCATGCCTTTGGACTCTGATGCCCCCTCTGTGTGTTGCTTTTGGATTGAACTGTGATTCTTTCTGCCTGTATCTGTCTGTGAGATTCTGTGTTTCTGACGCTTGCCGAGCACTGTTAACTTAATGAAAATCTTCCCCTTAGAGGTGAATTCCATCAAGTAAAAGGCTTCCTAGCCTCGGTCTCCCCAGAGAGGGACTTTGATCTCTCGCCGGTATCATTACATTAGTACATGACCTGGCCCTCTTTAGTCACACTCAGCATATTATAAATAGTGGTGTTTCAGAGTCTCTGGTAAAGACTAGGTTAGTACTAAGTACCCAGCAGTTTCAAACCCCGCCTTCCTGAGGCTGGGACCCTTGAGTAGCTTGACTGGTCACTGCTGTCACTACGGAGTTGTGCCTCTGATTCAGCTTTCATGTTTTCTTAATACAGAATGATGTTCAGCTGTTAAAAGTTCATCTTGTTTAATGCTTGCCTCTGTACTTACCCTCCGTTTATTAGGTTCAGGGGAGATGGGCTTGAAAAGAGCCTTGGGCCGTGGGGCTGAGCCCTACTGTGGTGGGAGATGGTATTCCAAAGGCCCCGTGAGTAGATGTGAATCTCGACATCTCTGAGGTACCCCAGGCAGCGGAGTACCCCCATCAAAGTGGGCTGGGGGCTCTCTCAAAAGCAGTTCCCCAAGTGGGAGATTGATTTTGGCCTGAAAAATACTATGGGTTTCTCATCATTAGAGTCATACTTGTTTAATTCTATTTGTGTTGTTGCATGATAGTTAAGATAAAATATCTAATTAAGAATTGTATTCAGTTTTAAGCGAGGTTACTAAAAATGCTCTGTCTTAAGAATTAGGCATCTAATGTTTACAGTCTGTACAATTTGAAATTTTAAGGAATAATAAAATAGCCAACTTTTAACTCAAAACAAAACAACTCATACACACAATCACTTCCAGCACACAGCCATTGCCCTGAGCAGCCCAGAAGGTACCCGTGCCCCTCCCTCAGGCTCTGCAGTGAGCCCAGGAATTCTCAGGAAATCACACTGGTAGACTTGGTCCCAAGTGAGTTTATCTTGCTCTTTCAGAGGCTGCATCTCAGGCATGATGCCGTCCTGCATGCTGAGTTAGTCAAGTCAGCCTTTTCTTGTTTTCTGGAGATGCAGAGCAGAAGGCAGAGCCCAGCTACCCATCTGCATTCCTTCCTTCACATCCCTCCAAACCTGCCTTGCCATGAATGGAGTGGGGTCAGTTCTGCACCATAAAACACCGGCATGCAAGTCCCTCATCTGGAGGTGGCTCAGGAGCAGTGTGTCTCCCTCCCTCCAGCAGTGAGAGGAACGGGGCATGAGAACTGAGCTGGGGGACAGCACCCAGCACCCACCTCAGCTCCCTTCTACAGACTACTGTAAACTTTAAAAGGCCTTCCTCCCTGGCTTTATCATTCATTTTCGTTTCCTTCTTTTTCTTTCATTTTTGACACAGGGTCTTAATTCTGTAGCCGAGGCTAGTGTAGAATTCACTGTGTAGCCCAGACAGGCCTTGAACTCCAAATGATCCTTCTGAGTGCTAGGGTTAAAAGCATTTGCCTCCATGCCCAGCTACAAGACCGTCCTCCTTTGGAGCCTCTGTGGCCTGAAGTTGGGGTCAGCCTGGTGAGAGTGGCCGTTAGAGTTGGAGGAACGTTGCCACAGGAACTACCCAAACAAGGCCATCAGCTGCAACTGTGTTGTGAGCTCCTTGGCGCCCCATGTCTCCCGAACCCAACCAAACTGACGGAGGCCATGGAAACCACTAATTTTAACAGTGCCAGTGACATGCCTTATCTTTAGTTCCCCCTCTTTGAGCAGGAACTGTTGCCCCAGCATGATGAAGCAGAGATACAAGCCAGCCAAATCGTGAGGTGTTTAAAAAAGCTAAAAACAGAAGATGGAGGCAGGGGCATCCCGTTATAATGATGGGGGTTCAGCGTGAAGCCTTGTAGGAGGGACCAAAGCAGGAGGGTTAAAAACAGCACACGTCCTCGCCAGACAGTTTACTGAAATGTACCTTGAAGAAAAAGAACAAGGTTTTGAAAGGCATGATTTTTATATTAAAAGAAAACTATGAAGGAGAAAGCAGATGATGCTTTGATGTCAAAAAGCAAACCTAAGATGTCCTGGTGATTTTAGCTGTTGGCCCATGATCTGCTCAGACTCCTAGGGGGTGCACACTCCCTTTCCTCTCCTCCCCTCTAGCCCCCCAAGCCACTTGGGTAAGAAATGCTGAGCCAGGCTCTGAGTGGAGTCAGAGCTGGATCTGCAGAGCTCTTTGGCTAGCATCCTCACAGTTCCTGATGATGGCCTGGCTCTGGGCCCGAGGCCCGGGGTGCCAAGGTGTCTGAGCTACAGACTCCAGCCTTGGGCTCAGACTGCAGCCCAAGTTGTACAGCAAGTGCTGTCGCTGGGAGAGCGGGAGGCCCTCAGGTGGAGAGTGCCTGGGCCCTCGGGCCTCACCACCTCACCACCTTCGAGGGTTCCCTGCACTAACCTGCCTGCCTCTGCCCTCTTGTTTATCCATTTGCTTTTTTTTTTTCTATTGTTTAAGCAAATTTAGAATTGTTACCTTAATTGTAGAGGTGTTATAGAGCCAGAAGGACACAAAATGTCAGGAGACATTTCTGTGGCACAGCCCTTAAGGGACTTTCAGACTAACATGTGATCTCAAAAGCACTGGGTTCCAAGCATCCCATCCTAGGTCAGTCAAGACCTCATGCATATGACATTATAATTTGGACTCACTAGGTGACCAGATGTGTCTGACACTGAGCCCTTTGTTTTGTTTGCTTGCTTGTGTGCGTGCGTGTGTGCGTGTGTGCGTGCGTGTGTGTGTGTGTGTGTTTGAGACAGCATCTCATTGTTCAGTACATCCTTATTTCAGATTGGTGGCTATCCTCCTGCCTCAGCCTTCAGAGTGCTGGGATGGTAAGCATACACCATGGTGCCTGGTTGTTAACCCTTTATTTTATTTATTTTTTGTTTGTTTGTTTTTTCTTTTCTCTTTTTTTTATTTAATGCCCAATGCTGTTTATTGAAGGAGGGAAGAGGTCTCAAATACAGGATTACAGCACAATGAGAGAACCCGGGAGGGCAGAAGTTCACTACCAATGTTTTATAATCTTGCATCTAAGCTGTTAACACCCATTATGCAAGATACACAGACTAGGAACTTCCCTTAAGCATTCAGGAGGGTGGAACCCGGCAGGGAATTAGCATAGGGAGGATATCAAGGTCAAGGTCAGCAAGCAAGGCAACAGCTACCCAAAACGGGGGCCAGGGACCTACAGGTTCCCCTTTTACTAAAAAATGAGCTTCTGACTTAGGTTGCGTGGGACGTCAGCAGGTCACCTTGCCCATCATGGAGACGCCTGCCCAGGCCACACAGGCGCTCTGTCTTAGGTTGGTGAACGCCCCCTAGGCATTACCTGTCTCTGAATACTCATTATCATATCGGCTCAATCGTGTGTGAGCTGCAGAGTTAACTGCTGCCAAAGATCTCAAAGTGGTGCTGGGCTTGCAATCTGTGTGTTCGACACAGAAAAGACCAACAGAAGTCCTAACCCACCCATAACCAGTAGGCTAAAGGCAACTGAGCCATTTCCTTCCTTAATGAGCCTTACTGAAAATTGGAGTCCTTGTAAGATGGTATTCCAAAGGCAAATAGAACTTGAGTTTATAAATTTGTAATTTTCAAAGCCAATCAAAATGTATATAGTTATGTTAACCCTTTATAAACATTGACTTGTGTGTTTGTGGCTCCTTCCTTTGCAAATAGCCAGGGTGTCCTGTTGCATCTTAATCTACACAGTTGATTTGGCATTTGTACATTTTTAAGGCATTCGAAGGCTGAGTTTCTGAAAATGCTGTTTGTTTTGTTTTGTTTCCTTCTCAAGGTGAGACTGAAGCTCATGAATTGCATGCTCTGTGAGCATGGGTGCAGATGACACCATCTCTGTTGATGATGCTCTGTGGGAAGAGCTGGAATGGCCTGAAGCTAGTGCTGTGGCTTACCATTTGGTTGTCCTTGAAAGAGTGGTCCTTTGATGGGCAGAGAACTGAAAAGACTACCCTGTTAGGTCTGAAGTCCAGGTAGTGGATGTGTCTTAGCTTCTTACTCTGGCTTGTTAGCAACATGTACTCCTCAGTTTTAAGCTGTTCCCTTAAATCCTGGCACTCTCAAGATTTATCTCAGTGTATATGGCCAGCCCAGTGCCTGGTCTTGTAGAGTTGCCGTGAAATTCTCCAGGGCACAGTGGTACCCCTGGGTGGTAGTTTGGTTCTCTGCTTCAGGTCCCACCTGCCATACCTGTGGTGCTGAGGTCTGAGTGGTCAAGGGAGACTTCTTAGGCTCCTGAACTCCTGAGGAAGGCCAGACCTGGCCCTGCCAGTATCCCATGGTCATGATTGGTTTCAGTCACTCTGATCTTTAGTCTCCTCTTCCTAATACAGAAATAATCCTGTCTTGCTCCCTGCCACCCAGAGTAGCTTGAAATCAGCTAATGAATGGAGAACCATGTGAAGAAGGCTCTTAAGGCTTTTACTCATCTTTATCTTCAACTCACAGATCTCCTTCCACTTCCTCCACCCCCATCCCTGGGAAAGTGGGGATAGCCAGGGGGCTCTGGAAGTTCTTAAGAGGAGAATTTTTGCATTTTTCCAGGAAGTAACTTAAGAGGCTATTTGTCACACACACACACACCCCATATACCTTGCCAGCAGGAGATGACCATGGGGGCATAGGAGTTCTTTGTCAGTTATAAACTATTTTGTACGCAGACTAAAGTCACTGTTATTGGCAGTATATGTGGTGAAGACTCCTTTCCTTTGCATCTGTGGCAGGGATGACATTCCGAAAGGCAGTTCTCAAGCACGCCAGCTCA